ACAGCTCCCGTATCATTGACGATAACAGCTCCCGTATCATTGACAGTAACAGCTACCGCATCATTGACAAAACTTGATTTATTTTGTCAAGTTATCATGGAATTGCACCTGAGAACAGAGAACAGAATCTGAGTTTGAGCATGAAAACGGTTTCGTGAATACGCACCCCTAACAATTTACGATTGGAAAGCATTTTTGAGTTGGTATGTCTATTCAGATGCCATGCAACGGAAATGCAAATTTTACTTTTAATTATTTACAAGTATTATTTGTCGGCGGAGAATTGCAGTATTGGAAAATTAGATGGTTGCATATAGACACTTAATATACATAAATTTACAATTACAAGATGGGAATGAATTCAGACATATTGTTAAATTCAATACAATTTGCAATCTCAAATATTTTGTGACAATGCCTTTTGTAAATGTCTAAATGCACTTTCGTCTAAGTCTACGGAAAGTATGATTTCTGAAAAAGAATTAGTTCCAAATACATGTAGAAGTCAACATTAAAAGCATTAGATTTTGCAAGAGAATACCCCTTTTTCATTTATAAATAAATCGGTTTGTAGGAAATAGCAAAGCTATTCTAACCAGAATGTCCACAAAAAGAGCGAGTAGCACTATCAACATTTATATCATAACTCAGAGAGGAGCCTCGGTGGCCAAGTAGTTAAGGCGTCTGGCATACATGTGTTACCACTACCCTCCACCACTGGGTCGCGGGTTCGAGACCTACGTGGGGCAGTCGCCAGGTACTGGCCGCAGGTCTGTGGTTTCTCTCCGGAAACTCCGACTTTCCTCCACCACCAAAACCTGGGACGGCCTTAAATGACGATAGCTGTTAAAAGGACGTAAAACACAAACAAAACAAACCAAATATCATCAAACTTACAACCTCTGATGTTTAATGCAATATAGACAGGCGAGAATGACTGTATATAACGTTAGAGAGGATTTCGTGTTTAATGTTATAAAGTAGTGAATTATTAATATAGATATTCCAACTATGAAGAGCAAGATGGTAAACTGCTGGAGCAAGCATGTAGTCCGTTGTCTCGAAAGATGTTTCGTACGGTTATTTTCTCCGGCAATTTAAGGCAACACAAGAACACCTCAGTAATTACATTGTATATAATCTCGTGATAACTTGATATGCATCTACTATTCGTCAGAATTATTCTCTTTCGTCGCGAAATAACGAGATTGTAAATTACAAAATGTCGTTAATTCGTTATTTCGCATTCCATTTACACGATTTCATTAAAATTTAAACATACTTTATTGCTTCATATTACAGCAATAGGATTTGGCACAAGTTATTACAACATTAAATAAATTCACAATTAAATACAATGTTCAACAATTTGCAAAAAATAGTCCATCAGGTGAATATAAACGCATAAGTTTGGTAATATTGTTCTCGGAAGTGATAACAGGAAAATCTTAAAATACTTAGTTTTTCGCAGCCATAGAGCCTTTTCCCCCCTAAAATAACCAGCCAATCAACACCACATGTTTCGTCACATGGCTGACGTCACCTCATGAATATGGAAAAAGGGGCATGGCTGCGAATTTTTTGTAGGAAATAGCGTGTCTTTTTGGGGGGAAATGGAAATCGTGTCTGCGGAAGGAGAATACATTTGGCGTGCATAAAGGATATCTTTTTTAAAAATAAAGCTGTAGCAAATGCTCAGGTCCCTTTGGAGTGGACCAGCCTCCTTAATCCTGACGTTAGATCGAAGAAAGACATGGATTGCGATGAGTAAGATTGTTTTGAAACCTTTGTGTGGTCGACGATCGGACGATACGAATTAATGGATATGTGTAAATAAATTCGTACATCTTTTTTCTGTCTTGTGTAATTTTCTTTATCTGATAACTCAGCCTCCACAGTGTCGTTCCTAAAAATATTGAAGACAAACCATATCAAATGTCGAGCATCTCCATTTGTCCGTCCACAGGAACATACGGACGAATTTATTAGGTCTACCATTTTAGATACAGATACAGTACCATAGTTAAACGATAGAGTACAGTTTTTTTTCAATTTTGCGCTCAATAATATTTGTATATCTGTTTAAAGTATTTTGTACCAGTAGCAAGGTCATTTCAAAGTCACACAGTATACGGTATATAAAAATACAAATATACATTTTTACGTAATTGACATGTTTACGTTATAATTTTACATACTATTAATTGATTTCAATTATAAATATTTATTGATCTTTTGGACAAAGTTGGATTTAAGTTTAGGTCTGTTTTACGATCATGGGAACAGAATGTTTTATTGGGTTGAAACAGAATCAGTTGAAGAAAATCTCGCGCCATAAACGGAACCCTTTTTTTCTGTGTGTGAAAGTGTTCCTGGTATAACGATGATTTAACAGTGTTTTCTTTACAATGTTTGTGGAACATGATTTCACTATAAATTTGTAATAAATACATTCAGAAGTGTTTTACCACGCAGAAACATGACATAACAAAATAAAACCGGTCCGTCCCAACAATCTGCTACTGGTACAGGCCTTCACGAACAGTTTAATGTCTGCAATCTAATACATAAACGAAGTTAGATCAATCTCTTGAGATAAGTTTTACTGCAGCAATTGGTATTTTATTATCATCCGATTATGTATAAATATCCGACTATAGCTACTTTGCACAAAGCCTGCAGACCACAAGTCATCCTCACAGACCTCGAAACCGTCACAAGACACCAAGACACGCGGAATGTTTGTCAAGCTGTTTCTCGTTTGTGTGGTGCTCTGTAGCGTCATGGATGGGGGTATGTATACAGGTGCATCCCTTAAGGGTGTATGCTTCCTTACGGTTATATGCACCTCCTTTTCAGAAGAGTTCAGCGTTAAAGACAGACTCTCAGGGAGGTTCTAACATTCTAAATAGTCTCACGTTAAAATGTCAGGAATGAAAGATAGACTGTTTGATGAAACATTTGAAAGGTAAACGAGATTGTATGTATTGGCAGCCATGAAATATAGTTATGAATTATTAGGTTATAAATTGTGTTTTTCTAAGGGAGGTAATTATAACACATAAGGTATCCTTTTTATCTTAACTCTTACACAAATCACAGGTATGATGTGTAAGGTAGCATATACCCTTAACTCTTACACAAATCACAGGTATGATGTGTAAGGTAGCATATACCCTTAACTCTTTCACAAATCACAGGTATAATGTGTAAGGTAGCATATACCCTTAACTCTTACACCAATCACAAGTATAATGTGTAAGGTAGCATATACCCTTAACTCTTACACAAATCACAGGTTTAATGTGTAAGGTAGCATATACCCTTACCTCTTACACCAATCACAAGTATAATGTGTAAGGTCGCATATACCCTTAACTCTTACACAAATCACAGTTATAATGTGTAAGGTAGCATATATCCTTAACTCTTACACAAATCACAGGTATAACGTGTAAGGTAGCATATACCCTTAACGCTTACACAGTTACAGGTACATTGAATAATATGTTGTATCTATATCCTTAATTCTTTGTAAGCGTGAATAAAATATTAGGTCATCGAATACAAATTCAAGACACTCAAAGGTATTGAAATTGATTTTTTTTTCTGTATTTGTAATATTAAATTGTACTTTTAAATATCCTCGCCCAAACGTCAGTTAATAGAATGTCTCTGTACCATCACGTAAAAAGGTAATGTATTCGTATATATATTTCATTATTACATGTAACTGATAGATATATTTTATCGTCCGCCTCGAAATTCATGGGGTTACGGTTTCTTAAGTGTTATGTGGTATTAGTCTTGAATGTTTCAAAATAAAATAACAGTGGTGGTGAGTTAGGGTGTGTGGGGTGTTACATGTTACAGCATGTACCGAAACAACTGTAAGCACTTTTATACATACACCGCTCTATAAGTTACATGTTACAGCATATACCGAAACAACTGTTAGTACTTTTATACATACACCGCTCTCTAAGTTACATGTTACAACATATACCGAAACAACTGTAAGTACTTTTATACATGCACCGCTCTATAAGTTACATGTTACACCATATACCGAACCAACTGTAAGCACTTTTAAACATAAACCGCTCTATAAGTTACATGTTACAGTATATACCGAAACAACTGTTAGTACTTTTATACATAAACCGCTCTATAAGTTACATGTTACAACATATACCGAAGCAACTGTAAGCACTTTTAAACATAAACCGCTATATAAGTTACATGTTACAGCATATACAGAAACAACAGTAAGCACTTTTATACATAAACCGCTCTATAAGTTACATGTTACAACATATACAGAAACAACTGTAAGCACTTTTAAACATAAACCGCTATATAAGTTACATGTTACAGCATATACCGAAACAACAGTAAGTACTTTTATACATACACCGCTCTATAAGTTACATGTTACAACATATACCGAAACAACTGTAAGCACTTTTAAACATAAACCGCTCTATAAGTTACATGTTACAGCATATACCGAAACAACTGTAAGTACTTTTATACATAAACCGCTCTATAAGTAACAGTAAGTACTTTTATACATAAACCACTCTATAAGTTACATGTTACAGCATATACAGAAACAACAGTAAGTACTTGTATACATAAACCACTCTATAAGTTACATGTTACAGCATATACCGAAACAACTGTAAGCACTTTTATACATACACCGTTCTATAAGCAACATGTTACAGCATATACCGAAACAACAGTAAGCACTTTTATACAAACACCGCTCTATAAGTTACATGTTACAGCATATACCGAAACAACTGTAAGTACTTTTATACATAAACCACTCTATAAGTTACATGTTACAGCAAATACCGAAACACCTGTAAGCACTTTTATACATACACCGTTCTATAAGCAACATGATACAGCATATACCGAAACAACTGTAAGCACTTCTATACATACACCGCTCTATAAGTTACGTGTTACAGCATATACCGAAACAACTGTAAGTACTTTTATACAAAAACCAATCTATAAGTTACATGTTACAGCGTATACCGAAACAACTGTAAGTACTTTTATACAAAAACCAATCTATAAGTTACATGTTACAGCGTATCCCGAAACAACTGTAAGTACTTTTATATATACACCGCTCTATAAGTTACGTGTTACAGCATATACCGAAACAGCAGTAAGCACTTTTATACATACACCGTTCTATAAGCAACATGATACAGCATATACCGAAACAACTGTAAGTACTTTTATACAAAAACCAATCTATAAGTTACATGTTACAGCATATACAGAAACAACAGTAAGTACTTGTATACATAAACCACTCTATAAGTTACATGTTACAGCGTATCCCGAAACAACTGTAAGTACTTTTATACAAAAACCAATCTATAAGTTACATGTTACAGCATATACCGAAACACCAGTAAGCACTTCTATACATACCCCGCTCTATAAGATACATGTTACAGGATATACCGAAACAACAGTAAGAACTTCTATACATACACCGCTCTATAACTTACATGTTACAGCAAATACCGAATCAACTGTAAGCACTGTTATACATACACAGCTCTATAAGATACATGTTACAGCCCCCACCGAAACAACAGTAAGCACTTCTATACATACCCCGCTCTATAAGATACATGTTACAGCGTATACCGAAACAACTGTAAGTACTTTTATACAAAAACCAATCTATAAGTTACATGTTACAGCATATACCGCAACAACAGTAAGCACTTCTATACATACTCCGCTCTATAACTTACATGTTACAGCAAATACTGAAACAACTGTAAGCACTTTTATTCATACACCGCTCTATAAGATACATGTTACAGCGTATACCGAAACAACTGTAAGTACTTTTATACAAAAACCAATCTATAAGTTACATGTTACAGCGTATACCGAAACAACTGTAAGTACTTTTATACAAAAACCAATCTATAAGTTACATGTTACAGCAAATACCGAAACAACTGTAAGCACTGTTATACATACACCGCTCTATAAGATACATGTTACAGCATATACCGAAACAACAGTAAGCACTTCTATACATACACCGCTCTATAACTTACATGTTACAGCAAATACCGAAACAACTGTAAGCACTTTTATACATACACCGCTCTATACGTTACATGTTACACCATATACTGATACAACTGTAAGAACTTTTATACATACACCTCTCTATAACTTACATGTTACGGCAAATAACGAAACAACTGTAAGCACTTCTATACATACCCCGCTCTATAAGATACATGTTACAGCGTATACCGAAACAACAGTTAGTACTTTTATACATACACCGCTCTATAAGTTACATGTTACACCATATACTGAAACAACTGTAAGAACTTTTATACAAACACCGCTCTATTACACCATATACCGAAACAACAGTAAGTACTTTTATACATACACCGCTCTATAAGTTACATGTTAAAGCATATACCGAAACAACAGTAAGTACTTTTAAACATACACCGCTCTATAAGTTACATGTTACAGCATATACCGAAACAACTGTAAGTACTTTACTACATACACCGCTCTATAAGTTACATGTTACAGGATAAACCGAAACAACTGTGAGCACTTTTATACATACACCGCTCTATAAGTTACATGTTACAGCA